TCCTCCCTGGAGCTTGTTTTCTATGCATCTGAGACACACAGATCTGAGACATACTGGCTTTAGGTCTCTGTTTCAATTGCCACAGAATTTGACATCCAGGATCCTGATATTTTGTCTCCACCCTAGAAACACTGGACTTGGGCTGAAGTGTTTTCAAACGAACTGCTCCCAAAACTTCTTACAGACACGACCTTTCCAAGCTTTGCACAGAAGTCTTTGGTGCTTCCTGGTTGATAGAATTCACTGGAAAACACGATGCCATTTACTAATTTAGATCATTGCCAGGACTGGCTCCCGATCTGTTGTACTGTAGTTCTCTGAGAACCTGAAAGCAGAGGAGACCTGTGCTGGAGGCTCCAGGGAGGCAGCAGGTTCCTTCTGGGCCAGGCTCTGCGTGCAGCCAGGCCGGCTGCGACTAGGTGGCAGCACTCCACTGGGCAAACCGAGCCTCAAATGTCACATCGACTATTCCTTTCAGCTCACAGAAAAGCCAGCTTGCACATTCCAGTTTATAGGAAAATAGAGGGTAAATAAAAGTCATCAAAGCCTCCTGAAAAGTTCTCTCCGGGCGGTACAGAACAGCTGGGAAGGTACAAGTGAACTGAGCTGTTCTTCTGCAACGAAATCCAATCCTACACAAAAATCACCCTGGTTCAGATGTAAAAGAGGGAAGAAAACCAGGGAAAAATCTGCAGCAATTCTCTCAAGACCTCAGGCTGTTTGTCCAGACAAAGCTCATAGTTCCCACATTCACCTGGAACAACTCCGGCAAGACAGATGCAGCACAAATAGCTCAACCAGGCTTTTGTCATTTTGGCTTCGTTTTGTCTCAAACACTATGAGATAATATCGTCTCTCACAAGTCAATTTTATGAGGATCTGTCACTCAGTTCCCATCTGTTATGGAAAATAAGCCTTTACAGGTTAGGGTAGGATGTGGCGTCAAATTCACAGAGCAAAGATTTAATTTAAAGTATTTGAAGTCCCTTGCTATTGCCAGATAGCGAGGGGAGGATTTGCATTTGAGTTTCCATGTCAAGATGGTTTCTCTTTCAAACCTTTTATTAACACTTATCATTTATAAAAGCCATACAACAAAGACAAAAAGAAGGAAGAAGCAGTGCAGAGTATGACAATGCTGTCTCTGCAGAGATACAGCAGGCAGGAAGAAAAGTAGACAATCATTAATTCAAAGGCATTCACTTAAAACTACAAAATGTGAATGAAGCTTGGTAGGAGAAAGGGAGGCACTGCCTAATGCAGAAAATTAGCATCAGACACTCAAGTAGCACAATACAGGCATGAGATCCCAAAGCTGATTTCTTACAGTGCTCAGACTTGACCACTAGAACTTGGGAAGATTGGGCTACACACTCTGGTCTCACTCTTCATGTGTGTATAGATATATAAACTGTAATTGCTACCAAACATCCAGCACTTGGAATCGCACCCTCCAACACATACTAATGAAAAGCAAACGTGTCTAACACTGAAGGTGGTGGGCCCGGAGCAGCTTCAGCAGCAATATCGTGAGCTCTGATCATCAGTGTCACAGCTTGCTGTCAGAGGTGTCTGCTCAGAGCCACCAACCCCTTCCAGGAGCCAAGCGCTGAGCTGCACCTTGCAGTCCACTAAGGTACCTAGACATGTAAGTGGTAGCATTTGCACCAAAATTGCCAAGATACTAACACTGATTTTTTTCAGTAATGGTAACATATTCATAGCCTTATTTCATCACCCTCCTTGGAATCCTAATGGAGAAATATCTGCCTGCACTCTGCCGCTGCTGAAGAAAAACAAAACTCCTTAGTCTCCTTAGGCATTGTTCACTGTTCTCATATGCAACTGTTCCTTATATTCACAAAGAATACAAAAAGCTTTTCATTAATCAGTTAAGAAAGTCAGGAGTGATCTCTAACTTCACAGACTGTGCTGTATAGAAAAAGGATTATTGTGATTTTTCCTTGAGTAGCTCTCTCAGCCCTGTTTGCAGCAAGCATCTGAAAGGAAGGAAGCTGTCTGGGTAGAGCAACACCTTCCCTCCGGCCCAGAAACTTCTGCCCAGATTTAGCCAAGTTGGGAAGAGTTAAGGACTGTCGTATCCCTTTTTTCCTCTCTCTTTCTCTTTTTACTTTTTTTATTTTGTTTGCATTCTTCATAAAACGTTGGCAGTTAGCATAAATCAGTGAACACAGCAAAGGCAAAGCCAGACTAACAGCTCTGCCAAAGCAGCAGCTGCAGGTATTGGATAGAGGACACATCTGAACTGTCAAAATGAGCTTTGGTAAGAACTTGCATGTGTACAGAGGAGGAGAGAGCTAGCTTCTCACCCCCAGCTCATTCCCAGTCCTAACATCACACCCTTACCTGGCCGTAACATCTAACACAAGGTTTTTTCAGCTTTTAAATCCATTCTCTCCCAAAAGTGAACATGGCACAAAGCCACCTCTTCCTTTGCTTCCAAGAGAAATCGAGGGAAATATTTTCCTGAATCACTGAAGTGATTCAAGTCTGTGCTATGCTGCTGATAACTTGAGGTTTCAAACACTGTTGCACATAGAAAACTGCTGTGCATTCTGAGCCAGACTCACCACATACGGAAGAAAAAAACCTGAGCAGGAACTAGAAACTATCCCGGTTTACTCAGTGGGTTTCTGCAAAATTGTGATGTCAGAGCAGCATCACACACACTGCGGGGCGGAGGGCTAGCTGAGCTTCACGATATATGGACACCAGAGCTGCATCACAAACTGGATATGCTTTGCTCTTCTATGCTTAGGTGCCAATGCTATCCTGATATCTGAGACTTAAGACCTGTGCTGCCACCAGCCAAGCATCTTTGCTCATCTTCTGTAGATCTGAGCACTCAGGAGCACCAGCAACTGGAACAGGCTCACTCCCATCTCTGGAGCTGGTAAGGGCTGTTAGTGTGTGGGGCCAGGAATGTCTTTTCCTTTCAGAGAAGGAAAAGGCATGAACGAGAGGTAGGTAAGAAGGAGAAGGATGAGGAAAAGAGGATGGAGCAGGAAGGGTCTCCAAACATCAAATGGCTTGCAGCTCTGAAGCCACTGCAGTGGGGTGAGGCTCTCTACAGACCCATCCTGACCATTTAGCAAGATCAGGTTGCCTCAGGAGAACAGGTCTGCAAGGAAAGTGGCCTAGACACTCCTGTCCCTTCTTTCAAAAAGTAACTGCCTGACTGAAAACTTGAATCTAAGAGCAGTTGTTCGAGATACCATAATACTTCACTTTTATCCATCATGGAAGATTCATATGGTATCACACATCGCTAGCTTGGCCTCATATCTTCCATCCCATGCTCTGACACGCTGACTACATTAGCATTGCCTTTCATACGAATGTCTTTTACAACTGAATTCCCTGTTTGAGAAAGAAATCTTGGTGGCTACTCATTCAAAACTTCAAATGAGGAAGCTGAAGAGCATTGTCAAAGATATCAGGAACAAAGTACTCGTCCACAGTTCCGCCCCCCCCCCAGCCACTAAACTCTGACAGATGCTCTCAGTGATCCTCCCAGCATCCTCCTAGGGCAGAATCACAGGAGAACCAGGGAGAGAGACCATGAGGCTGGGAAAAACTTGAACTAATTTAATGGAAAATAAAAAAAATACTAACAAAACCAATGAAAATGTTAAACCATATACCGATATCATAGAAGTATACAAAGACACAAGAAAATATGCTAATATGAAACCTGTACCCTCCAGGTGACAACAAAGTCCCAAGCAGGAAAAAGTGCCAGGCAGAACTCAGCAGCAGATGGGAGTGCCCAAGCAGAGAGTGCCAACAACAGTCAAAAAAATGCCACCAAAAAAGCAGCTGTGCTGCTCCCACCTGGAGATGCGGAGGAAAGCCAACCCGTCCTGAGGAATGTTGCTCCTCGGCAGCGGGACAGCAG